CCAGGCACACACTTGTAATCCCAGCTCTGGAAAAACTGAGACAGAAGGATGGTCAGATTGAGCTAGCCTGGCTAACACAGTGAGAGTGTATCTTTTTTTTTTCCTTTTTTTTTGCTGGTACTGGGACTGAAACTCAGGACTTCATGCTCATTTGGCTTTTTTTTTTTTTTTTTGCTCAAAGCTAGTACTCTGCAATGAGAGCCAGGCCTCCATTTCCTGAGATGATATATTAAAAAGGAAGGGCAGGGGAAGAAGTAGCATTTGTCAAGTTTTTGTGTTGTCAAAACTGAGTATCTGGCTGGTGCTGGTGGCTTATACCTATAATGCTAGCTATTCAGGAGGCTGAGTCTTGGAAGCTCATGATGGAGCCATCCCAGGCAGAAGAGTCCTTGGGCCTCTATCTCCAGCATCACAAGCAGAATGGTTAGTGGTGAGGCTCATCTGGCAGCAAGACAGTGCAACGAGTGCCCTGAGTTCAAGCCTTGGTCAGTACGGGGTTGAAAACACAACAAAAACATTCTGTAACACTCACATGGTCAGAGGATAAAAAAAAAAAAACCAGAATAGTAGAGCTTCTGGTACCTGTCCAAAGTATTAACGGCTATCTTTGTGATCTTGGGAGGGATTTTTGTTGTTGTTGTTGTTTTTTTTTGGGTCCGGTCATGGGGCCTGAACTCTGGGCCTGGGCACTGTCCCTCAGCTCTTCAGCTCAAGGCTAGTGCTCTACCACTTGAGCCACAGCGCCACTTCCGGCTTTTTTCTTTTTGCTTATGTGGTGCTGAGGAATCGAACCCAGGGCTTCAGGCATGCAAGGCATGTGCTTTACCACCGAGCCACCTTTTCAGCCCTTGGGAGGATTTTTGATTGATAGAGAATAACAGCCAGAGGTTTTGAGGTTTTTTTTTTTTTTTTTTTTTTCAAGTAAGGGGTAGATTTATTCATCGTTCTGGCTGGTACCAGGCCATGTTGGCATTCCACATGGCTGGGAAAGACCTGGGAAAGAGCTGGGAAAGAGAGCTGGGAAAGAGGTGGGAAAGAGCTAGAAAAAGAGCGTCTGGACCTGGGCTAAGCCTTATCTAGGGTATGGGTGGAGAGAGGTGGGGCCACATCAAACTCAGATGTGACCTCAGCAGATGCAGATGTGACCTCTTCCAGGTGTGCCAGTTGTCTAGATAACGCAGGTACTAGGTGGAGACTTTGCTTCGAGGAGGGTGGAGTCTGCTCACCATCCAGGAGCAGACCTTACATTCCAGCCTTTTAATAATCATGAAATAGGGCTCGGATTCTCTCTGGCTACTTCCTGCTGACAAGGGACATCGACAATAGGGGTAAAAGGCTGGGATTTGGTCCTCTCCCAGAGAAGGCAGCAAGCAGCAGCTGTCCTTTGGTGGCATGGGTCCTTAGATGAATTCTAGAGGAGGCAAGTCTCTTGAAGTCTGGAGAAGTCTCATGAGGCATTGAGGGGCTGAAAAAAATACTAGAGAGCAAATAAATGGCAAGAGGAAAGACTTGGGGCTGAAAATGTTGGTAGAAATGTCCCTAGCTACTTCTGACATCTGGCAATTAGGTAGAGAAGTCAGGTGACAAAGGCAAGAATATAAATTCTTGTTCAGTTAATAGGTAGACAGGTATAGACATTGGATGGGCAGGCTTCTTCTACTGACCTCCCAGCTCTGGTTAATTTTTTGGGTCCGGTCGTGGGGCCTGAACTCTGGGCCTGGGCGCTGTCCCTCAGCTCTTCAGCTCAAGGCAAGTGCTCTACCACTTGAGCCACAGCGCCACTTCCGGCTTTTTGCTTATGTGGTGCTGAGGAATTGAACCCAGGGCCTCAGGCATGCAAGGCAAGCGCTCTACCGCTGAGCCACCTTCCCAGCCCTCTGGTTAATTTTGAAAGGGCAGGCACAAAGTAGCTGATGTGACATCATCTCCTCTTACTCCTCTCCATGTTCCCTTGTTCCCCAGACTGGCTGAGCCTAGGTGCTCGTTGCTGGGATGGCTTGTCCAAGTTGGTATTCAAAGAGGATTGAACTCAAGGCCTGGGCACTGTCCCTGAGTACTTCTGCTTAAGGCCAGCACTGAACCACTTTGAGTTATAGTACCACTTGCAGTGTTTGCTGGTTCAAGATAAGAGTCTTGAGCCATGCTTCCAGCCTGGCTTTTTGCAGATTAGTTGGGAGATGGAGTCTTAGGGATTTTTCAGCCTGGGCTGGCTTTGAACTGCAATCTTTGCCAAAACAGCCCTTTATTATTTCCAATGAAAGCAACAAGGAGATCAAATAGAATAGAGCTTACCTGGTCCTTATCAAGAATTGACCAACAAATATTCTGCAATGACAAAACTTGTTAGATGTGATGAGAATTTTAGCACCATGTAGTCAGTAGTAGAATACACAACACAAAGTAAAAAAGGCAAAACTCAAAACCTAAAATTTTTGACAACAATGTGTAGACATCTTTGCTAACAAAGCAAAGCACATCAGATTGTTGGGCCTCACTTACCAGGGACTGTGAAAAGAGCAACTTGTTAGCAAGGCACCTTAGAATAGATGGAGTAGTAAACTTAGTGGAAGGTTAAGAGTCAGATGGGGCCAAACCCTTAACTCACCATGTGGCCAAGATGGCAAACTCAAGATGGTGAATTTCTGAAAGAATGCAAAGAAACCCTGAACAAATAGATAAGCCTACATTGGCTAGCCTTTGAGAGGGAACCTAGAAGAGGGTCCCCGGGACCCAGCCTGCGTCGCACTCTTCAGGGCACAAGCCAAAATGTTGTAGAAAAGAGAAAGGGAGAGAGGGAAAGTTGGACATGAATGGCAGAGAGATCAAAGAGAGCCTGAAAGTAAACAGACTTCTGACTATTTACCATTGCAGTAGCAAAAACTGTGTACATCTGAGAATGGCATAAAATTAGGCTCTCTGGCTTTCCAGGGCGCGCAGGAGGGTTTCATGGCTCAGGCGTGACTCACAGCACCCCATTAAATGTGTAGGAGAGTCAGTCTGGTGAGTGAAGGAGAGCTAACCAGGCAGAAGCGGCGCCCCAACTTCCCCCAGAGCCCTCTAGAAATGGCCAAACCCCCAAAACCAAGCGTCCTCAGCTTTGGAGGTGACCGGCCTTTCAGCTAACGGCCGTAGGAGCTCTCTGGCATGGCGCCACGTCTGGACAGAGACTGGGCAACAGAGAGCCGTAGAGAGTAGTTTCACTCACCAGAGTAGAGAAGTGGTGTGGACGTGGATGTGAAGGCAGCAATGGTATCGATGCGCTGTGTCCGCAGCAGACAGATGGGTTCGCAAAAGGCTGTCAGAACTGTGGGTATTCCTCAGAGCAAAAAGGGAAAAACAAACAGAAAGAGAAAAAAGAGGAAAAAAAACCGGAGAGGAATCCCACCTATCCTGACTTTAAGCCCTTTATCCGAGTCATGGCACCATTTATGTTAGGTTTTTAAAAAGAGGTAGCTGAGTAAAAACCACACTATGCACGTGGTATTCAGGTAAGGGGTAGGCTTATTCATCGTTCTGGCCGGCACCAGGCCATGTTGGTCCTCCATGCGGCTGGGAAAGACCTGGGAAAGAGAGCTGGGAAAGAGCTGGGAAAGAGAGAGAGCTGGGAAAGAGGTGGGAGAGCTAGAAAAGAGCTAGAAAAAGCGGTTTTGAGGTTTATGTACATGGTTTAGGAACCTCTTCCTTAATCCTTAGACCAGTCCTGTGGTAGGCCCAGGTGTTATTTCCATCTTACACACCTGCCTGACTCTTGAGCGCTAGGATTGTAGATGTGAGTACCATACCTGGCAACTTTTTATTTTTTGGTGGTATTGAGAACTGAATTCAGGATCTCAAGCATTCTATCATTTGAACGACATCCCAAGCCCAGATTACTGGGCCTGGGCATTGTCCCTCAGCTCTTCAGCTCCAGGCAAGTGCTCTTCCACTTGAGCCACAGCACCACTTCCAGTTTTCTGGTGGTTAGTTGGAGATAAGAGTTTCATGGACTTACTTTCCTGCCTGGGCTGGATTTGAACCATGATCCTCAGATCTCAGCCTCCTGAGTAGCAAGGATTGTAGGTGGGAGCCAGGTCTCCAGATTCTTTTCTTCTTCTTCTTCCTGTGTGTGTGTGTATGCTAGTCCTGGAGCTTGAATTCAGGGCCTAGGCATGGTCCCTGACCTTTTTTTTTTTTTTTAAAATTTTTCCACAAGGCTCTTACCACCTGAGCCACAGCTCTACTTCCGGCTTTTTTTTTTTTTTGCTGGTCATGGGGCCTGAACTCTGGGCCTGGGCGCTGTCTGTCCTTCAGGTCTTCAGCTCAAGGCTAGAGCTCGAGCCAGAGTGACGCTGCTGGCTTTTTCTGCTTATGTGGTGCTGAGGAATCGAACCCAGGGCCTCATGCATGCAAGGCAAGCACTCTACCACTGAGCCACCTTCCCAGCCCTACTTCCGGCTTTTTGGTAATTAATTAGATAACATTCTCACAGACGTTCCTGCCTGGTCTGGCTTCAAACCACAATCCTAGGATCTCAACCTCCTGAGTTTCTAGGATTATAAGCTGGAGCCACTGGCATCTGGCCACATCCAATTTTTTGCTGGTTAAGTGGAAGTAAGAGTCTCAAGGAATTTTCTGCCTGGGCAGGATCTGAACCATGATCTTCAGATCTCAGCCTACTGAGTAGCTAGCATTACAGGTGTGAGCCACCAGGAACTGGCTAAATGAATGCTTTTAAAAAAATGCTTTTTAACTTTCATTTCAAATGCCATCAGTATTTCTAGACAAAATCCATGTTAAACTGAAGTGCCTTGGGCTCTCAGTGCTATGTAGGGGCTGAGCTCTAGGAGATATAGATCCTGGTAGTAGATGTGCTTCCTCCACAGGCTCCTGGCCTCTTGGGAGAGTCATACATACCAGTACAAAGGCCAGAATCTTAAACACACAGATTCATAACTTATCCAGAGGAAATTAAAAGTCCAGAAGTTTCTGGAATGATTGGCAACACAGAAAATATGATAAAGTATATTTTAAAGTAATCTTTTATTAAACCGCTTACTATTTAATTTAAATTCCAGTGCAACTGAATCTCTTCATCAACTTCATAGGCTTCACTTTTTTTTTTTCCTTCCAGAACTTGACATGGCAGACTTTTCTTTCTCTTCTTTTCAGGTCATAGACTGGGACTTGAACTCCTTACCAGACATTCTTGCTCACTGGCTAGGGCTCTACCAACTGAGCCATGTTTGCAACCCAGGGGCAGATTTTTCAATACTCAAATCCATGACCCAAACAGGAACTGTAAAAACACATCAGCTACGGGTGTCTGTCTTCATGTACATCCTTGTGTGGCCCGTCTGGTCCATGGCCGTGAACAGAGCACAGAGAGCAGCTGTAATGAGCAGATGCATCCCCTCATAGAGAAGCTTTGGAGAAAAGACACTCCATATGAATAAGTGGTAGCGCAGGGATGTCACAAGAATGATATATGTGGCAACTGGAACAGAACAAATCAGTGCATAGCAGAAGCATGCACAACGTAGTGCTGAGCCACTGTGAATAAAGCAGAAAACATGCATCAGTACATACAACAAACATACGTGTTGCCAGTACTTTTACTTTGAAAATGATTATGGTACTATGGCTTCTGTATCACAGAAGTTGGGTGGGGCAGCAGACACCTGTAAACCTGGCTAAAGGGAGGAAAACAGGAAATTTAAGCCTACTTTGGGAAACTCAGTGAGACCCTGTCATTTTCTAAAAAGGGCTGGGAAAAGCCGCTCTGTGGCAGAGCACTTGCCTAGCATGTGTGAGATCCTGGGTTTAATCCCCAGTTCTACAAATAAAAAAAAAAAAAGAAGAAAAAATATTCTAAAATAGAGGAATAGGGCTGGGAATGTGGCTTAGTGGTAGGGTGCTTGCCTACCATGAGGAAGCCCTGGGTTCAATTCCTTAGTACCATATACACAGAAAAAGCCAGAAGTGGCTCAAGTGGTAGAGCACTAGGCCTAAGCAAAAGAAGCTCAGGGACAGTGCCCAGGCCCTGAGTTCAAGCCCCAGGACTGGCAAAAATAAATGAATAAATTACAGGAATACTCTTTAATTAGCAAAACACCAAATAATGCTGTCAACTAATTGGTAACATGAGAGCTGCCTGGAGAACAGAACTGGTACAGTCCCTGCTGAAGACACCTCTTTCGTGGAGGAACAAGACCTAAACCAATAGTAAAGAGGCGATGAATAGACAGTGGGATGCTGCAGAAGCCTAGGTAAGGAGCACTGACGCAAGCTGGGTAGGCCTGGAAAGCTCTATCTGTTGAGGCACATCTGAGGGTCTGTTGAGGGTCCCGAGGGAGGTGAGCTCATGAGCAAACCGGGTCCTGGGAAGCGTCTTCAGGCCCAAGACCGACGATGTCAGGGGATGACGCTCACGTGTTCCTGAACGTCTGACACCTCATCTCTGCACTCAGCTGTCAGCCTCCTGCAGATAGATGGCAGCCCCAGCGGCTCACAGTGACGCAGAACCTGCATGGCCAACAGCTCCTTTTAGGGCCTGTCCCTGTATCTCCACTAGGGTTTCTGGAAGCCAAACATGAGTATCTTTTATATTCTCGTACCGAGGGGAAAAACTATGCTGACCCCCTCTTCTCTGCGATCATGCCTCTACTTTTCCTAACCCTAATCACAGAAAAACTTCAGCTGGACAGTTCTTCTTGTGTGGTTTGAACTTGGTCCTGAATCTGGTACAAAAAACCCCTCAGATGAGACTTACACCTTTGAGCCATATTTTGGTGGGCAAGCGCTTTGCCACTGAGCTACATACCAGCCCTAAACCATGCTTCTTACATAAGGAAAAGACAAGCAGTGATCTTTGGAGTTCAGATACTCTATAATAAGGTACTTTTCATTCATTCATTTATTTATTTTTAAATCAGTTGTAGAGCTTGAACTTACGATCTGGATGCTGTCCTTGAGGTCTCTTGCTCAAGACTAGAACTTTACCATTTTGAGACACAACTCCACTTCCAGTTTTCTGGTGGGTAATTGGACTTTCCTGCCTGGGCTGGCTTTGAGCTGTGATCCTCAGATCTCAGCTCCCTGAGTGGCTAGGATTACAGGCGTGAACCATCAGTGCCTGTAAAGGTACTCTTTAAATCAGTCACCCTGCCATCAGATTTGTGGTAAAAGACAAAGATGTGTCACCTGCTTGTCGCTGAGCTCAGGAAGTGTGCTAAGTGGCTGGCCCATAGCACAGGTCCCACATATGTCCCAAACACGGTCAGGAACGTGGCTGGAACTTCCATGTAGGTGTCTAAGCCCACGAAGCCTGCTGAGACGTCAATGGTGGCGATGTTGTTAGAATTACCCTGGAATACAGGAGCCACTATATTAGTGTAAAGCACTCACAAGAGCCGGATGACTGTGATATTGTGAACCCATCCTGTCACTGAGTTAGCCCTGGATCAATCACCTACCTGACTGCTGTGTCTCTCTAGGCAAAGAAGGTAAGAGAATGGCTTGCAGAAAAGCACCCCTCTGCCAGTCTGATGACTGACTGTGGGCATCTCACACTTTCAGGCCAAAACCCTCTCTCACGTCAAAAGTGCAGCCATCTTTCCTTGAGGACCTCTGCCTGAGTATGGTTCAGAGGGCTCCGGGAGACACTGCCGTATGGTCTAGACAAGGGGAATGGACAATGGCTGGCCATATAGCAAGTCCCATGGATGCTGCTGTGAGTTACATGGTTGAAGATGGTCAGTCTCTCATAGTTTGGCAACTGCTCACTGAGGACTGACTTTCTACTGATATTGAGAGACTGATTGGTCACAACCAAACCTGGCCAGTGAAATGCATGTGTGAGAGAAAGGTTGATGCCACACCGATTACCTGTGCTGTGTGGTGGTATTTTGGATTGGAGAAAATGATCTTTGCAGATTCAGTCCACTGATTCTGGTTTGTCAGCTGCACATGCAAACTTTACTCTGATGCTTATGGGCCACTTACACTCTGACACTCTGATGGCACTTGAGGCTACCCCAGGCTCAGCACAGGCCTTTCTGGGAACCATTTACACAGGCTTGGCTGAGCTCTGCAAGCCCCACAGTAGTCAACCCTATTCCTTGCTGCCCCTCCCTGTGGCAGATATCTGGTTCCAGGGGTACCTATGGGGTCAGGAAGATATGACATCTACAATGCCTCCTCTCTATAAGCCTCTCTCTCTCTCTCTCTCTCGCATCCTTGAATTCACATTCACCTTTGCCTTAGGCTTACCCTAGCATTACCCTGAAATGGCTATGCTCAGGATTCTGCTCTCAGGACCTTCTGGTGAGATGGTAGAGGGGCCATCAGAGTAAGGGAGGGCAAGGTGCAGGGATAGGGGCCTGGTGCGGATGGAAGTAGATGTGGCTCCTGGAGCTTGATGGCAGCCCCCAAATAATATAGACCAGTAAAGAGGGGACCACGTGGCTAGCAGTGGGTAACATGTGATGCACAGTCACACTAACATCATCTTCAACCGTACTAACATGGTACACTATCACTGTACAGACCAGAGACTTAGTGCACGAGGAGGCCAGCAATCAGAGTGGAGCGTCCATGCCCAATCTCCATGTTGTTGAGGAAATTCAGCACTGAAGGCAGAACCCAGTGGCAGCAAGGCTACAGATCTTCCCTCAGGGAGGGACAGTGAAGGGGAAGGGACTCAACCTGAGGAAAGGGGCCTTTGGGAGCTGAAGGCTTGGGGGAGAGAGAATGGGGTGAAATGGGGTTGACTGCTGAGCTTGCAGAGCTCAGCCAAACCTTGTGTAAATGGTTCCCAGAAAGAGAGACTCACAGCTCATTTGCATGAGACCCAAGTCTTTGCTGAGTTGGTGTCTGTCTGATCCCTGGCACATAGATGGGTGCCTACTACAGTGACCCGCCATTGCCTGCAGGTGCACAGTAATGCAAGTATGACCACACACTGATCCGCACTTTAAACACTGTGGAAATGGGACCGTTCCTTGTGGCAAAGCAAACTCTGTAAGTGTCAAAATAGCTTAGTGGCAGGGTCAGGCTGAGCCAGGCTTCTGACCCTACCACAGCCCAGGAGAAGGGCTATATACCATCCCCAGTTTACAAAAAGAAAACTAAAGCATAGCAAGCACTTGTCAAAGACCATCTGGTGGAAAGTGCTGGGTCCCAGAGTTCAGGCTGGTAGCCACTTACATCCTAATGATGCTTGTGTGATTCTACCTTCCACAGATACAGTGGGGAAGGCCAGGGGAGCCTCAACAGGCTGAGCCCAGGGCTACATCAGTCTGGTCATGCTATTCAAGGACTTAGATATTTCTTTTTTTCTTTTGTGCTGGTGCTGGGGCTTGAACTCAGGGCCTAGGCACTGTCCCTGAACTTCTTTTGTTCAACACTAGCACTGTGGTACTTGAGCCAGAGCTCTACTTCTGGCTTCTTTTGGTAATTTGGTGGCGATAAAGAGTCCCACAGACTTTCCTGCCGTGGCTGGCTTCAAACTGCAATCCTCAGATGTTAGTCTCCTGAGCAGCTAGGATTACAGGCAAGAGCCACCATCAGCCAGCAGGACTTACATGTTTCTTGAATTTCACCTACCACCATTTGGCTTTGGGATCAGAAGCACAGACAAGGTAAGCCACATAATTACAGCTGTTCCAAGGGCAAGACTAGGCTCACAGAAACCTAACAGTGAAAAGGCTACTCTCTTCACTGTAGCCACAAAAGAACGCAGGACCGGACAGGTGGAGAAGCTGGTACACATGGATACGCACTCCCAAAGTTGGTAGATACTCGGCAGAGAGTCCAGCTGAGGGGTTCTATGGAGAGTTTCATTCTCTCTGGGGATAGTGGGAAGAACTAGGTTACTCCCAGACCTACCACCGGTGCTGAGATACCCTCATATCCACCATAAGTGAGTTTCCAGGTTTCCAGGCTGTTTTCAATGAGTTTTTAAACACTAGAGAGAAGAGTGGCAGTCCTTTAGGCCCTGGGGAACTAACAGCCACACAGGGACATCAGACAGTGGAGACAGCATAGAGAATGGCACAAAGGTATAAGAGACACATGAGATTTAAGCATAATTCATGCTTACTGACAATTCTTTCACTGAGCAAATTCAACTTTCTAACATAAAATTGTCTCAGAGAAATACTACAAGGTAAATGACTTGAAAAGTTAACAGTCTTCTACCCATGATAATAATGAAAACCTACCTGGAAGTAGAAGAATGCTTGACCGAACCAATAATGCATAACAGTGACCTCGGCTGCATCGTGTTTCAGGGGCTTCCAGATGAACTTAGTCATTAGAGTCTGAATCAAGAGACTAAATGCTAACACCGGAAGATTATGTGGCCTCAAGAGCAAAGCTGCCAGAAGAACTAATCCACTATATATCTCCCATAAGCCTATAGTCTTGATTTTGAAGTCTGCAGCAATGACTTGAGACTTAAGCAAGTCTTTGGTACCCGTGAACAGAATGCCAAGGACAAAGACATAAACAAAACGAGCTTCAATAATACCCCTAAAAAAAAAGCAAAACAAGTTAGATTCATATGCACCATCTAGAAAAATAGAAATACATAATTTTCCCATTTAAAGAGTGTATTTAATTAGGAAGGGACTAAATGAGCCACAGTGCCCTCCTGTAGACAGCTAGCATCACAGAAGGGGGCATGCCAACTCTTCACCTGTGCCTTGGAGGAGCACCCTGCCAGGACAACAGGTGTGTCCTTGAGTGCACTTCCCTGATGGAGCTGTCTTTGAAGAAACCTTGCTGATGCAGACAAAATATCACCTAGTTACAGGACCCGAGCCTGACAGTATGCCAGGGAAATCACCTACCTGCTTTGCATAACTAACATAAAAACAATTATGCTAGTATAAAACCCAAATGTCTGAAACTTCTGTAGGTGCAAAATGCTGACTGTGCTAACCAAGCACGTTCGCAGTGAAGCAGATTTTTTAAAGGGTGTGACTACTTATGTGTGTACACATGGACAACATGCAGTGGGCCAAACTGTTCACTCTGGGCTCTTTGGTTCACTAGTTTTATTGTTTAGGAAAACTTAACATCTCTGACAATGTATCTGTGAAAAGAACAAAAGGTGAACTCTACACCTTACATGATTATCCTAGGAAGAATACACATAAAGTGTTTGCTATACAGCAAATATTCAGTAAAAACTAAGTACTATTATAAGTACTTTAGTTCTTCAATTGAGTCTGTGAAGTGTACAATTTAGGATATATGCTCAAGAACTTTATCTTATAAAACATATATTCCTAAAACATACTTTTAGCAGATTCATAAATGAATATTTAAAATATACTACAAAAGATGGTCATCTAAAATAATGTTAAGTAAACTTTAAATGAAATATCAATATAATAACGTATCTGTTTCAAAAAATGAATTTTCCTGTATCGTATTTTCGTAGGTATATACTTTCATTAAAAAAATTCCTGGGGGCTGAGAAGGTGGCTCAGTGGTAGAGTGCTTGCCTCTCATGCATGAGGCCTTGGGTTTGATTCCTCAGCACTACATAAACAGAAAAAGCTGGAAGTAGCTTGTGGCTCAAGTGGTAGAGCACTAGCCTTGAGCTGAAGAGGTGAGGGACAGCGCCCAGGCCCAGAGTTCAAGCCCCATGACTGACAGAAAAAAACATTCCTTTCTTCAGTATGAACAGTTTAATTAACACAATGTGGGTGTATGTACCACATGGGATGCAGTGTGGCCTAGATGAGAAGCTGGGGTCAGGTACCTAGCACCCTGGGCCATGTGCCCTAATGTGAAAGCAAAGGAAGGACCACATGATTCCAGTCATGCAGAAGCCAGCAAAGGTTGGAGCCAGGGAAGACATTTCAAGGAAGAAAAGACATGAGGCTCTGTACCAGGAGATGCTGCTAGGGTCAGTGGATGGAGAACAGAGGGACAGCATCAGCAGACATCTCCAATAAGTTCCCAGTACTCAGTGCCAGCCACAAATAGGCTTCTCAAAGGAAAAGAAAGGAGGTGTGGAAGGCAAAGGGTCTGAGAATGCTAACTGAACCTAGAAGCAAAGAAGATCCAGAACTAGGTAGATCTGGAACCAGGACGGGTCCAGAACCAGGATGGATGGATCCAGAATTGGAGCACATCTGGAGTCTGTTGGATCTGGAACAAGGACATATTTTGGGTGAGATTGCTTGGAAAGTGGAGAATTTTACTGCATTGAAGAAAAAGGCACTGGGCTATTTTTTTTGAATTGAACAAAGGGCATGTTGCAGGAAAAGAAGGGAAGGCAAGGTAAGATGGTCATAGTCTAGATGGGTGACACTGAAGTCAAGTCTGGGAGATAATGAGGAACTTATTTGCACACTGTCCTTTGAGATACCATCATATATAAGATCAAGCTAGGACAACTACCTTGGCTTATGCCTCAAAGCCAACATCTTGCTGGGCACTGGTAGCTCATATCTAAAATCTTAGCTACTCAGGAGGCTGAGATGTGATGATCAAGGTTCAAAGCCAGCCCAGGCAGGAAAGTCTGTGAGACTCATCTCTAATTAACAAAAAGCCATACGTATGACTGTGGTTCAGGTGATAGAGCACAAGCCCTGCACAGAAAAGAAAGGTAAAGGACAGTGCCAGGCTTTGAATTCAAGCCCCAGGACCAGCACATACACACAAAAAAATCAAAAAGCCTTTCGATGAGTCCCTGAACATCCGCTCCCCCTTCTTCTTGTTCCCCTGGCATCCACCACATTGCTATTACCCAAGGCAGGCACTGGGTGACACTTCAACCCCTAACTCTCTACCCCTGTCAGCAGGTGCTTCCTTGTATAACCCCAGTTACCAGCTACATGGCCTAGCCACAGCTCTTGGTTGTCACTTAGACCTTTTGTTTGACTAGAAAAGCGGCATTGGTTAATTCTAGATAATTGTAAGGTACAGAAATAAGTACTGGTTTTTAAAAAAGGTACTGGGTGCTCATATTTATAATCCTAGCTACTCTGGAGGCTGAGATCTGAGGATCACAGTTTGGAGCCAGCCCAAGCAGGATTCCCCACCCCCTCCCTGGGGCTTGAACTCAGGCCCTAAGCACTGTCCCTGAGCTTCTTCTTTTGTTCAAGGCTAGCACTCTACAACAGCCACAGTGCCCCTTCCAGCTCTTTCTGTTTATGTGGTACTGAGGAATTGAATTCAGGACTTCATGCAAGCACTCTACCACAAAGCCACATTCCCAATCCCCATGAGACTCTTATCTCCAATTAAGGACTCCCAAAACAAGAAATGGAGTTGTGGCTCAAGTGGTATAGAGTGCTAGCTTTGAGCAAAGGAGCTCAGAGAGAGCACACAGGCCCTGAATCCAAGCCGTAGGCCTGGCATACACATACACATATACATGGGTGTACGCGCATGCACACAAATAAAGCCACAACCCACCTAAAATCTTGGGTTATAATCACCACTATTTTATCTCTTTAGTCTTTCACATCAGTATGAAAAGCAAAACACACTCAGCAAGCTGGAGTCATCCAACAACCCTAAAGCTTATTGTTCACAAATGTCCTCCTCAGTTCTCTGAAAACTCACTAATGGCAGTGAGATGCTATGGTGGAGCTTCAACTGAACTGCAAGTGCCACATCTCTATTGCTGCATTGTTCTTCCCTCCCTCCCTTCCTCCCTCCCTCCCTCTCTCTCTTTCTTTCTTTCCCAGTCCTGAGGCTTGAACTCAAGGGCCTGGGCACTGTCCCTGAGCTTCTTTTGCTCAAGGCTAGCACTATACTACATGAAGCACAGCACCACTTCATGCTTTTTCTGCTTATGTGGTACTGAGGCATCGAACCCAGGGCTTCATGCACGCTAGGCAAGCACTCTACCACTAAGCCACATTCCCAGCCCATTCTTTACTTTTTCTACCAAAAAAAAAAAAAAAGATGCCTCAATGAGCATGCTTCTGTCTCAATCCTGCATTGCTTGCTTGTATTCTTGAGATATATTTGAGAAGAGAATGGACAATATTGAAAGATTCAGACACATTTTGCACCCTGCCCTCTGCCTAGCTACTCCCAGCATTTCACCATATTATTAGCAAACAGAAAACTGGTCTTCAGTCTCATGATTAAGCTTTCCTGACTGTCAAAGCATATGCTCTTGGTAAATTATGGAGATGTTCTGCTTCTTTCCCAACTGCTGGGGAGTATCTACTCAACATCATCACCCTTACTTCTGCAGCCATACCACAACTGATCAAAACCAAGTCCTGGGAACTGCTGTTGCAGTTAAGTCAGGTATCACGCATGCATGCATGCATTCATTCCTCACTCTTTGTCCTACAAAATCCCTTAAGTTTTACTTATTAATTTAAAAACTAAATTTCAAAGACCTTATATTTTTTTCTCTTCTAAGAGAATACTAACAAAGTGGTTCATTAAGGTTTTCTTAATCAGGCTTATCATAACTGCTAATGAAATCACCATTCATAAATACCAAACTCGGTTATTCTAAAGATTGGTATAAGGTAGTTTTTTGTGGGGAGGGAGAAGGAATGGCATTTTTTAGTACATATAAGACTAAAACTGATCTACAGTAAACAGACCCTCATATCTCCAGTGTACTTACTTTGTAATGCTTTTGTTGTCTGGTTGCCATGGGAATAGCACATTCCCTATGGCGGACCTGTAGCAGAAGACGCCCAACAGCCCAAGCGCCAGGGCTGCTTTAGACACAGTGGAACACCCCCTTTGGACCAACATGAAGATTGCAAGCAGGGAGAGGGCAGCCAGGCCTGAGAGCTGCACTTTGTGTTCAGAGCTGAAACAAGATGGACAATACCACAATGATGACAAAAAGGAATTAGTGATGTATGAATCTATACTGATTTTTCTAGAAAGCACAAAAGAAATGTAGATTAAAATTCACACAAAAGTTCTGAAAATGTCTTAAGTAAGACCATGGGGATCAAGTCTAACTTCTTACTCATGGATGTATTCAGAAGCGAGGCAGCGCGGTGCAGCCAGTCCTGCCCCGGTAGCCCTCATCTGCAACCTGGCCTGTGCTGTTTTCTCACACACAGATCAGCTTGCTTGGCTAGCCTCGACACAGTTCACCTTTCTACACTGACTCATGAGCTGTGATTTGCTTTTCTATTTCTTCAGATCTCAAATACTATCCTATTCTTAATATGAAAACCAGAACTAAATGTAGAGAAAGAAAACCATTCAATCAGGAGAGTCCAGCCCCTGGTCCAAGGCTTGTGCTTACCTGGTGAGCCAGTGGCCAAAATCAGGCCGGTGGGCCCCCTGCACACCTGTCTGGTTCAGGGACCGCAGCAACCGGCAGCAGATCAGCACCAGCCAGGGGCTTGCCAGCACTGCCCACTGCTTGTGGCCTCTCTGTGTTTGGGGCTGGGAGGGCCCCTCGCCCTCCCTGACAGGCTCAGCACCCTCATCACCCGTGCTCTCCCGCAGCGTGACAATGGCACCCTCAGGCTGTTGCTCCACGTGGAAGGCACGCGGAGGCTCGCAGCTGTCCCCCAGAAAGTAGCTCCGACACGTTTCCTGGCTCAGAGCCAGACACAAGGTGTTGACAAGGAAGTACCAGGTCTGGTGCTCCTCTTCCACGAAGCTGCTGGCTCCGAGACTCAGGACATGCCCCACTGTGCCCAGCAGAAGAAGGTGGTCTACCTCTGACCATCCAGAGCTGGGGTGAGCTACATTCTGTAAGAGGAAATACTGTATGGGAAACAACCTGAAAATGACACACATCTCCCTATATGTGCTAACGTCCAAAGACAGATATGTGCTGTTCCTCATGCCCAGTGTCCACTGCCTACTCTGAAGAGCCTCCTGCCTTGGGGACATGGTTCTTCTTCACACAGCACAGACTGGGGGAGTCAAGATGCCCTTCTGCCAGCCAGGGGCCATGGAGATAGTATCTGTCAGTGGCCCTTACCTTGGACTGCAAGTTGAGAACTCAGAAGCAGAGAATGAAAGTGGTTAGGCCCTTAGGTCAGTGGTGGAGCCCAAGAACTAGACCAGCTTTCATGCCCCTTTCCATGACAGTTCCTTTTCCCTTGAAATGTTCGGTATCCACTACAATGGTCACTTCTGTTGAAACAACACAGGTGGCACCACAGTCCACCATCCCTTAAACTGTGTTATGGCTTGAATATGGAATGTCCCACCAAAACACACATGAAGTTCTAGTTACCAGCTTATGGTAATACTGACAGGTAAGTGGATCAAGATGGCACTAACCAGTCTTGGGTCTTGAATTCAAGGTCTGGGTGCTGTCCCTGAGCTTTTTGTTTTTTGTTGGTGTTGTTCTCAAGGCTAGCACTCTACCACTTGAGTTATAGCTCCATTCTGGCTTTTTGGTGGTTAGTTGGAGATACGGGTCTTGAGTTTGCCTGGGCAGACCTCGAACTGTGATCCTCAGACCTCAGCCTGCTCAGTACCTAGGATCACAAGTATGAGCCACTGGTGCTCAGCTGGCACTATACTCTCCACTAATGGATCAATCCATACATGTGTTCAAAACTGAATGGGCTATTAGTAGATAGGGCCTAGCTAGAGAGTCACTAGGCTTATGCCTTGAAGAGTATATCTTGTCCCTGGGTCTTTCTGTTTCCTTGCTACCATGAGTAGAACAGAGTTCCGTTGAGAAGCCTTTCCAGCCACTATGATGTTTCTGCCTTGCCACAGGCTCAGAGGGATACAACCAACTGACAATGGACTTAACACTTCTGAAACACTGAACTAAAATAAATTCTTTCTCCCTTAAGGTGCTTACTCACAGAGACAATGGTGAACTATTAACTTAAAAACTGTTCAAGATGAGATTGCTGTTGTCTATTTTTCTATTAACTATTTATTGTGTGCAGCAAGGCACCCAGAAACAGCATGATCTTGGGTAGGCCCTAGAGATACAAATGAGGACCAAGAAACTTCTTGGCACTATGGCCACAGGGAGTGCTAAGACCTGAACTCCCAGCAGAGGGCCTCTGCAGGTCCTACCATGAGTAGGAGCACAGGTGCTGCGTGGATGAGTGTTGGCATCACTGTACAGGGTTCCCCAATAAAGGCTCTGGGCATTGTGGACCAGAACTCTTTTTACTGTGACTACCTATCTCTCTCTTTCTCCCTCTCTTTTTTTATTTTTTTTTGGGTCCGGTCGTGGGGCCTGAACTCTGGGCCTGAGCGCTGTCCCTCAGCTCTTCAGCTCAAGGCTAGCGCTCTACCACTTGAGCCACAGCACCACTTCCGGCTTTTTTCTTTTTGCTTATGTGGTGCTGAGGAATTGAACCCAGGGCCTCTGGCATGCAAGGCAAGCGGTCTACCACTGAGCCAACTTCCCAACCCCTCTCTTTTTTTTTTCTTTTGCCAGTCCTGGGGCTTGAACTCAGAGTCTGGGGGCTGTCGCTGAGTTTCTTTTGCTGAAGGCTAGTGCTCTACCACTTGGGCCACAGCGTCACTTCCAGCTTTTTCTGTGTAGATGGTATTGAGGAATTGAACCCAGGGCTTCATGCACGCTACCACTAAGCCACATTCCTAGCCCATCCCTTTTTTACTGCCCAGCCAGCACCACCTGGTAGTGAATGAAGGTGCCAGGTCAGAGATGGAGACTTCCAAAGGAAAACATGTGTCTTGAAAAGAAAATTGCATTTTGTGCGGCAGAACAGAGGAAAAGAACATCAAAACTCCCTTGGAATCTCCTGAGTATTTAGCCCGTAGCTGTCCTCGGCTGCAGCTCATTAGGCTAAGGAGCCTGTGCTCCTCATCCCCCATGACCTGCAGCTCCACCATCACCTCCACTCCAAGAACCAGCTTTCCAACTGAGACACACTTGTGTGACCTGACCACACATCAGAACACCAGAGGCCAAGATGGGCAGAGAAAGGCACAGGCTGCTGAAGTTGTTACATAACTTCTTTGGTATGTGGCCTTCCAGGAAGCTGGCAGCACTGCTGACTGATGTTTCAACTCATGTCTGACAGACAAAAGATGAGACAACGTAAGAAAAATATCCCACACAGAGCCAGCCATACCTTCCTCAGCAGAGCACCATCAAGGACAGTCCTGGCAAGAGCAGACACGATTGCACAGAGCAGCATGGAAACTAGCACTATCACTCCTACTGCTGCCAGCCAGGGGAGACTGCAGAGGTAACACGAGTTCTCAGCTGAGGTGCAAACTACGACGTGAATGGCTGAAAGAACCAGGAATATCAGATAAAAGAGCAGAGAAAACACAGGAGATGACAGAGCGACATCCAGCTCAGTTCTTCTGTGCAGCACCTGTGGGGTGCTGAGGAGAAGCAGGGTAAGGACCTAGAATAAAAACAAAAACCAGTCACCAACAGTGTCTGTGGATGGCCACACCAAGTGAAACCACCTAAAATGAGCAGCTCCTTTCTGTATACACAAAGGATAGGAAAAACGACCCAAGGAAAGATTCCTTCTAGTTGCCTGCCAAAAAGGCAGAGCTTAAGCCAGGAGTTGGTGGCTGATGCCTGTAATCCTAGCCACTCAGGAGATCTGAGGAGCATGGTTCAAAGCCAGCGCGGACAGGAAAGTCCATGAGACTCTCATCTCCAATAAACCATTAGAAAACTGGAAGTGGCACTGTGGCTCAAGCAGTAGAGCGCTCACCTTGAGCTGAAGAGCTGAGGGACAGCGCTCAAGCCTAGAGTTCAAGCCCCATGACTGACCCAAAAAAAAAAAAAAAAGGCAGAGGCTATTTTATGTGTGCAGTAATACCTGAGAGTACTTTATGATTTGTCATAAGCTAAGAAACACAATGGGACAGTTAAGAAAATTCATATTTTCTGTGTATAGCAACACCTATTTTTTTTTTTGAGACTGGGTTTTTTGTGGAACCCAGGCTGGCCTCCAACTAACAGTCTTCTGGTTTAGCTCCCAAGTGCTGGGGTTATAGGATACCAGGCCTGGCAGTAATGCTAATACTGTATATATTTAAAAGTACTATGTTTTGACTGAGTTACCAAATCAATTTAATACCTAAGCCATTATTACACAAACATCCATACCTCCAAAACCACAACTGTCCCCACTACCATCGAGTAGATGTCATACTGGGCCACTTGTGTGCTCAGGGACAGACTCAAGGTCTTCAGTGCACCCAGGTACTGCCTGAGCACCTTGGTGCCCAGGCCAAGCAGAACATCTGAATTGTTTTCTTCCAAGTGCAACTTGACCCAGTTTCCATGTAGCTTTTCTGCCATTTTAAACTGCTCAAATCCAGGATCTACCAGGACAAAAAAAATTACACATATACATCATGGGTATGCATAATTATAATCTCTGAATATTCAGTTATTCCTAGCACAAGATTTTACAACTTATACCTTATGCAGGCAGTATTTTTCTTCAGGGAAGTTGCTGCCTACATTAGATATAAGGTATAGTTGAAGGACATCCAGCCAACCCTAGCACCACCACTGCCAAGGCCTGGTTATTCAGCACATACAATGTAAACAGATATATCTGTCCACTGCTCAGCACAGACTCCCTTTCTACCTACTTCCCTGTCCTAGTCTTACCTTCTCCTCCCTATTCTTGATCTCTTTCTACTTTTTCTTCTTGTAAATTATAAAAGCAAAAAAAAAATGGCTTGTCTATACTCTGTCTTAGGCAAGAAACACAATATTGAGTAACAGGAAGAACTCCTACCTGTTTGGGCTTGGATCCAGTAGTATTCACAAAAATAAATAGTCGATACTTATGGACATATGAGTTCTTCACATACTGTGAAGAACACCATGAAGGAAAAGTAGATTGGAATACAATGAGAGAGTCTCGGTAATGAGAAGGAACTGATTGGGAGTGGGTAGAGAGGGCAAGGATGGGCTAAGATACAGAATTAACCAGGCAAAGAACTGGGAGAGCATGCATCCAGTCATGAAGATCAGTCTTGGAGTGAGAAAAAGCTGCTCCTGGCACAACTGAAAGCCACATGGCAAGACCTGGCTGAATGTTGTAGAGGTGTGTAGGCCTTGTGGGATGGGAAGTAGATGTACACTGTGTCTGAATGGTGTATAGCGTGCAGACCCTATGAAAGTTTCCTCATCCCAGCAGGCTCTTTTCCTCCTTCCCTTATCAGTCCTTGATTTCTTCTAAGGCCATATTTTTGTTTGTTTGTGTTGGCTGTGGGGCTTGAACTCCGGCCTGGACACTGTCCCTGAGCTCTTCAGCTCAAGACGAGTGCTCTACCACTTGAGCCACAGCACCACTTCCATTTTTTTGTGGTGGTTAAATGGAGATAAGAGTCTCATGGACTTTGGCTTTGAACTGCAATCCTCAGCTCTCAACCTCCTGAGTAGCTAGGATGACAGGCGTGAGCCACTGGTGCCCAGCTATAAGGCCGCATTTTTGAAGTAAGCAAAGCATCTATGCGTTAAAATCATTTTTGGTTGGTGATTTGTTAATAACAGAACATATGAATAACAATGAATGTACAAAAACTATCAAGGCCATACAAGTTACTTTTGAAAAAGAAAAAAAGCGAGGGGCTGGGAAGGTGGCTCAGCGGTAGAGCGCTTGCCTTGCATGCATGAGGCCCTGGGTTCGATTCCTCAGCACCACATCAGCAAAAAGAAAAAAGCCAGAAGTGGCGCTGTGGCTCAAGTGGTAGAGCACTAGCCTTGAGCTGAAGAGCTGAGGGACAGCGCCCAGGCCCAGAGTACAGGCCCCACAACTGGACCCTCCCCCCCACCCCAAAAAAAAAAAAAAAAAAAAAAAGCGAAAGTAACATCTGTGCCTAGTCTAGACTGAAGTATGCACTGGCCAGGCTTCATCTGGGTCCTTGGCTAAGCACCAAGTCCGCTCGTCCCTTACCACACATGCTCCCAGCCTATCTCCCACAGCCTGCTGCATCCGATTAAATGTTGCCTTAAGCAAGTAGTGCTTCCTTTAGATTCAGGGCAAATGTGTTTAATTGGTATATGGAGTCCACAGTCTGAATGACCTACAGAGGCTCACAAGGAGGCACACTCCCCACAAGGGAATATTCTTATTAGCAGATAAACACCTAACAGTATTGCTAGCTAAAAGATAAAATATCTGCTCTTGGCCCTCCATCTCCCAACTGGGCTTCCTCCTGACACTCTGTGTGAGCTGCTCCTATAGTCACTAATAACCACACATTGCCAGACTCAGCAGAGAGCTCTCTCAGTGAGTTCTCAGTTTCTCACTTTATTTTGCTAGTATTCAGCACAGCTCTTTACTCCCTCCTTATTGAATTTTTTTTTTTCTGCATGGTCTCCTGAGTCCTTGTCAGGCTACTACCTTGCCTTGCCCTGAAAACCTTCTTCTGCTCCTGTTCTGGTCTTACCTACCTTAGTGCATGGTCATCTACTCTTTCACTGTTTGGCTGAAACTCCAGAATTGTTCCTTAGGCTGCAGGTCTTCCTATGACTTAGACTCTGGTGTGCCAGCAAATCCTGTTTTGCTATTTCAAACATATCCACAATACAATTATTTTGGGGCTCCTCTGGTGTACAGGGCCCTCACCAGAGCACTAGGCCAACCAGTCTCCTGTTACAGCATAGGGAAGAACTCTCCAAGGGAATCTGAGAGAGCCTTTGAGAATGCAGAAAACTCTGCAGTGTCCCCTACACTTCACCTGGGACAAAACTGAAAACCCCTCTGGCAATTAGAAGGCCCCTATACATCTCTACTATTTCCTGTGCCTTCCCCTAGCCACTCTGCAAGGCCCTGTGTCTCTTTGACTCTCAGCCTGCAACACACCCAATCTACCTGCAATCTCCTCTCTTTTCTGTCTGATAATTTCCTAGGGTCTTTCTTACCATTTGGCATCTATTACTGTTTTTTTTTCTTTTCCCTCTGGAGGATCTCAGACAGAGATACTGTACCTCTTGATGATTTTATTTCCAATGCTTTTAATAGTCCCTGGGTCCTAAAGAAGAGTACTTATTGACAGCATACGCTTATGAAAGATTTCATGTAGTTAACTGCATCTGTGGTATTGCTAATGGTGACAGTTAAGGGTGTAAGAAACCAGAAACACAATATATATATAAAACTGAAGAATAATGACTGCAATACAGTACCATGACAAACTGCATACCACAGAACACATCCAGAAAATGTGAACTACAATGAGACACGCAATTCTAATACAAGCTGGATTCATTGGCTTACCTTTCTCATAGGATGGTACATTCTCTTGCAACAGCTTGCTAAGCTGTACTGTGTTTAAGTGTAAAAATCTCAGCTGTTCTCTCATTGGTTTTCCTTCTACAACTGGAAATAAAAGGCTTCCTACACTGTCTTTGGGAATTGGCAAGCCAAGTCCTGTTGCTAGTGTTGCAGCCAAGTCGGTCTGCTGGACGTGCTTTGTGTGTCGGATCTCCCCTAGAAAAAAGAAGATATTTTACAAAAAAAAAAAAAAGGCTTCTAGAAGGTAGGAGATGGTAGTTATTCTTAAAATGAGCCTCTATAGCTAATACAGGTCAAAATACCCATCTCTTCAAACCATGTGAGGTAGATTCACACAGAAACAATATATTAACTTCGTAGTGTCGACAGATTTGGTGAGTGTCCCATTCCTTTCAGTGGCTTATAGTGTACGGAGGGCAAGTAAGGCAAATGATTATGAACAGAGTGATTGCTGAGAAAGGTCAGGCATGGAGGTGGCAAGTAGCCCAACAGAAGCCTAGGGATGGTCACTGCGATGATACCTATTGTTAACTCTGAACAAAAATGAGGGTGGATCTTCTGGACTCAGAACGTGCTAAGCTCTCCTTTCTAGCATTCACGTAAACCTGAGAAACCTGGCCCAGGATCTCTCAGTTGCTTCTCCTGCTATACTCAGCTGAGTGGGTGCAGGCATAAGAGGGACAAGTCTGATACTGCTGCATGTCTACTGTGTGATAATACAAGCATCTCATGTGTGATGCACTAACTCTACCAAATCTACAGGCTTAGGAGGAAGTAAGTATAGCAATGAGATCTAGAGTTGATTTTATAGTCATGAATGTGAGCTAGAAGTGTCAACACAAACTCAAGATCATCTTAAGAATCTTGGACCTAACCCTAAAGGTCCAAGATTAGTATACACACCTCCTTTTGAGATAGTGGTTCTCAAACACTACTCCTGGCTACCTTGGAGAAGCTGGTCAAACCCCAAGAAGGAAGAAGGCTGGGCTGGGAAGGTGGCTCAGTGGTAGAGTGCTTGCCTTGCATGCATGAGGCCCTGGGTTCAATTCCTCAGCACCACATAAGCAAAAAGAAAAAAGCCGGAAGTGGTGCTGTGGCTCAAGTGGTAGAGCGCTAGCCTTGAGCTGAAGAGCTGAGGGACAGCGCCCAGACCCAGAGTTCAGGCACCATGACTGACAAAAAAACAAAACAAAACAAAACAAAAATAAGACATAGCTGTGCTTAGCCCAGACCAGATCAAACCATAACAAACCAAACTAGATTAGCTTGAACCCAAGCATTCAATTAGCCTGAACCCAGGCATATCTATTCCCCCCAGGTGTGTTAAGAGGAGATTCACAGGAAGACAGAGGACATCTCAACAGACAACAGATAAAACTAGGAGGCTGCCGTGGGAGAAAGAGAAGTTTAAGGCTGGACTGCCTACAATGTGAGACCCAGTTTTAAAATACAAACAAACTCAAACAAATAAACCCAGAAGAACAACACACAAGGCTGGGAATGTGGCTTAGTGGTACAGTGCTTGCCTAGCATGAAGCACTAGGTTTGATTCCTCGGTTCTACATAAACAGAAAAAGCCCGAATGGCACTACAGCTAAAGTAGTAGAATGGTAACCTTGAGCAAAAGAAGCTCAGGGACAGTACCCAGGCCATGAGTTCAAGTCCCAGGACTGGCATTAAAAAAAAAAAAAAAAGAACAACACACACACACACACACACACACACACACACACACACACACACACACACACAATCTGCTGGGCACTGGTGGTTCATACCTGTAATCCTAGCTACTCAGGAAACTGAGATATGAGGATCACGGTTCAAAGCCAGCCCGGGCAGGAAAGTCCATGAGACTCTTATCTCCAATAAACCACCAGAAAACTAGAAGTGGTGCTGTGGCTCAAGTGGTAGAGCACTAGCCTTGAGCTGAAGAGCTGAGGGACAGTGCCCAGGCCCAGAGTTCAAGCTCCACAACCAACGAAACAAAAAAAATCCTAATCGAGTGACCAAGGTTGAACAAATGTAGCAGCAGTACTCACAAGACACTATGTTGAAAATGAATTGTACAACTTGTTGGAGGAGATGGGAGGGAAAAACAAAGAGCAAGGTGAACTAGGCCCTGAGAGGAGACTCGAGCTGGGACAGCTTCTTTACAGGTTTTGTTTTTGTTTTAGGGATTTTAGAAAAAAAAAAAAACAAAAAACGTTGGCTCCAACCAGCCCAGTTCTTGGAATGAAAAGAATGCCTCTAGGTCCCCCTCCCCTTAATTTAACCCACCTTCATTGTTTTGTTAAAGACTGACTGATTAAACAGGTAGCCAGTAATCCGGCTCATGCTGGCATGCTGGCTGGCATGCTGGCAGACATCCCAAGTTTACTATAAACTCTACCTTTTTCACATGCTTATGTTAAACTCCACTAAACTCCTTTGTGTATGTTTACCTTAAGCTCCGCTTTACCATTGAATTTGCGAGTCATTTAAACCAAAAGTGATAGGCTGGTTCAAACAGCCATTATGTGACAAAGTGTAACCTCACTGGCCTCCTGCGTGTGGTCTGGTATGACTGTGCAATCTTTTGGGTGTGTGAAAATCTCATTGGTCGCCTACGTGACCAGGTTTCACCTTGTGACTTTTGCCTTTAAAAACCTAAGCACGTGGGCCGCTCGGGGTCACAGTATCAGCTCCCGAGCCTGTGCTGCGGCCCTGGCCGGTCAGTGTAGGAACCTTCTCAATAAAGTTGCTTCTTTAATATCAACTTTGTTGCGGTGGGCTCTGTCACTCCGGACGACTAGGTGGGCTTGCCTGCCTGAGTAGGGGTCTTCCTACTACAAAGGAGTGACACAGTCCAAAAAGAAATGTACTCATACCTGACTATGTAACTGTAACCCCAGTGTACATCACCTTTATAACAACAACAAAAAAACAAATAAAATCTAGCTGGGTGATGGTGGCTCATGCCTATAACCCTAGTTACTCAGGAGGCTGAGATATGATAATTGCAGTTCAATACCAGCCGTTGCAGGAAAGCCCCGGAGACTCTTACCTCCAGTTAACTATTGGAAATGGCACTGTGATTCAAAGTGGTAGAATACTAGACATGCGCACAACAAGCTCAAGGACAGTGCGCAGGCTCTGAGTTCAAACCCCAGGCTCAGCATCAAAAACAAACAAAAAAAACCCCAAAACCAAAAAAATCCAATAACTACCATTTATAGTCTGGGAATTGCTGAAGGACATAAACAAAGGAAAAACTTTTATTCAAGACAATCTACTAAATCTTGGTAAAAACACTAATGTTCTTTGAGAACATTTGATGTTTTAAGAATGTCAATTTTAACTGGGAGAAAATGAGGAAAGAACTGACATTGTTCAAACAGAAATGTTAAACTGGGGCTGGGAATGTGGCTTAGTGGTAGAGTGCTTGCCTCGGATGCATGAAGCCCTGGGTTCAATTCCTCAGTACCACATAAACAGAAAAGGCCAGAAGTGGAGCTGTGGCTCAAGTGGTAGAGTGGTAGACTTGAGCAAAAGAAGCTCAGGGACAGCGCCAAAGCCCTGAGTTCAAGCCCCAGGACTGGCAAAAAAAAAAAAAAGTTAAACTTATGTACCTGTAACCTCTCTGTTCATCACCTTCACAATAACAAAAATACACACCTCCAAAATAATGAATGCCAATTTTAGCTGGTATAGAGGCTCACATCTGTAATCCTAGCTACTCAGGCTGAGATCTGAATCTAAGCCAGCATGGGCAGGAAAGTCTGTGAGACTCTTATTTCCAATTAGCTACCAAAAGAAATAGAAGTGGAGCTATGGTTCAAATGGTGGAGCACTACTAGCCTTGAGTACAGAGTCCAGGACTGGTACACACAGACACACAGACACAGACACAGACACACAGACACACACACACACACACAGACACACACACACACACAAAACCCTTTTTTTTGGCCTGTGAATAACCATGTTTGTCCTCCAGGACAAACTTCACAGGGCAGTAGAAGCCAGGCACACAGGCATCTCCTATCCTATAGCTGAACTGTTAGTGATGTCTGCCTGCTGAAGAGGAGGCACAAGCATCTCTTACCTTCCCATGCTCCTGTTTTCTTTTCACAAACAAGAGAACAATCAGCTAGCAATTAGTGGATTTTTCACAGTGGGGTGAGAGAACAGAAGCAGTAGCTTGCAAGGCCTTCCCTGAAGACTGTGTGCATGCTCAGGCTGGGCCCGTGCAGCAGCACTGCAGGAAAAGAGAATTTCCTGCAACAGTCTTCAAGTCAATAGAGAAATAAAAAGTCCTGGATGAGGAGGGACTATTGTCCAGATTTGCTGCACTTTATCACTTAAAAAATTCTGTTTTCAGGCCTGGGAAGGTGGCTCAGTGGTAGAGCGCTTGCCTTGCATGCCTGAAGCCCTGGGTTTGATTCCTCAGCACCACATAAGCAAAAAGAAAAAAGCCGGAAGTGGCGCTGTGGCTCAAGTGGTAGAACGCTAGCCTTGAGCTGAAGAGCTGAGGGACAGCGCCCAGGCCGAGTTCAGGCCCCACGACCGGACCCAAAAAAAATAAATAACTAAATAAAAATTCTGTTTTCATCAAAAATCTGGAGGTTTTCAAAGAAATGGTGTGACAAATATGAAACAAAGCACCTACTGCGAAAGAATCCAAACAGCAGATTTAATAGACAAAGACTTCAAAGTAGCCCAGCAAATGTGTCAAAGAACTGATCAAATCATGTGTTAAGCAAAGGAGGCAAGATAATAGCATTTCAATAGAGTAAGAAACTATCAGGAAAGAACTAAAAAGAAATAATGGAAGTGAAAAAGTTATTAACGGCACTCACAGTTAAAGATGAGCAGAAAAACAGAGGGTAAAGGTCCCAAATTGGATGAACAAAGTATCTACAAAAGGCTAAAACTTCAAGTTGTAGAAAAAAAAAAAGACACTGTAGTGAAACTGAAAAAAGACCAAGAGACAGGAGCCACAATTACATACTGGTAACTTCTCATTAGAACCCAGAGGCCAAAGGCAGAGCCTTTGGTAGAGTATAAGTGGTTGTCAACTAGATATCATATATCCAGTGAAACTATTTCAATGGAGAAGATGGAAAAAGGACATCATCTGATTTTAAGAAAACAATTTGTTGCTAGCAAACTTGCCTTATAAGAAACACGAAACAAGGTTTTCTGGTTGA